TTCACATTCTCAAAGACATTCTTTTGGATCACGTCTTCTATTTATGAAGCTGGGTTTTCCGGTGGCGATCAAAGGCAAGTACAGTGCACACATCCATGTGGAAAAGAAAATGAGATGGTAGTGTCCAGTCCTGATGGAGGACAAGCTGTGCCCAGCTCAACAGGTGCATACATTCCATTTGAAAGTAGCTCTACTTACTGATAGGAGCCCCCGTGGCCTAGGAGTCAGGCACTGGGCCGCTAAGCACAGGGTCAGTTTGAAAACCCGAGCCGCTCTGCAGGAGAAAGACAAGACTTTCTACTTCCACACAGATGGATAGTCTCGGGAACTGTCTCAACCCGGTCCTTTAGGGTCACGATGAGTCAGAAGCAACTCAATGGCAGTGACTTTGCCTTTAGAGGGGCAGGTCGATAAGAGTTCACAATCAACGTGAGGGTAGTGAGTTTAGGGCTTGTTTAAGAATGACACTACACACACACACACACACACACACACACATATACTGCTTCTGCCAATTTGCATGTACTGTTTTTACAAATGGCAATGAAGTTGTCCCATCGTCTGTCAGTACTGTGACGGCTTGCCTGTTGCTGCGACATTGGGACCTGTGCTATTGACACTTCAAAGACCGGCAGGGTCCCCCAGGGTGGTTTCAGCAGATGCTCCTTCTAGATATAGGCAGGGTAGGAACATGGCCTGGTGGTCTACTTTGGAAAATCAGCCGATGCAAACCCTGTGGATGACAACTGAACATCCTGGGTGCGAAACACAACACTGAGCTGCTCTTTTTCTTGCTTTCGGTTACATGGGGTTGCCGCCAGTCGAAGGCAACTTGCGGGCACCCAACAACACGAGGTGTTAGAATATAAGTGCTTATTTAAGGAGTGGGGCCTGATTGCTTAACCTATGATCGGCATTTATTTTGAGCATTTAAAAAAGATGTACTGAGCCTTGAAGGGCAGCGTGAACTTGGAACATTTTGGATTCTCTGCTGGTGTGGGGTCCTCTTTGAGCGTGTGGGGCACACACTCTGAAGAAAGCTCCTTCCACACATCTGGTATAGCCATGCTGGCAACAGGGCAACGTCGAGGCTTGCCCTTGGCTTTTTCTGCTTATGCATTGTGATTTCAAGGAAGGAAAAAAAGGAGGAGCCATGGTCATGTACTGGTTTAACTGCTCTGACACGGAAAGCCGTGGCAGTCTATTTCTGTAAGCATTTACTGTCTCGGAAGCTCTATGGAGCAAGTTCTAGTCTGTCCCAGACGGTCACGATGACCTGAGGCCCCTTGACATCGGTCTCAAATGCCCAGGACATTGGCATTTCCGTGTATGACTTCTATGTGAGGCGTGCAACATCTGGAAAGCTTAATAACCAGCTGTGGACCACCCAGCTTCCGCGTGCACCTGCAACATGTGGCAAGCCTTGGGTCAGCCTGAGTCCCCAGGTCCCAGTTAGAGATACCCAACTCGCTGCCGTCCATGCTGACTCAGCACGAGCCCCCTGTGGGTTTCTGAGACTAACTGTGTACTGGAGTAGAAAGCCCAGTCTTTCTCCCACGGAGCTGCTGGTGGATTTGAACTGATGACCATGCGGATCACAGCTCGAGGATCCTTAAAGCTCCTACTTAAAACAGTAAAACGGATCCTTAGCTGCTTTAATATCTTGAAATGTACTGGCCCTTCTTTAGAAACCAGTGGCATTCTGCCCCCGCCCCCCCCAGCCGG